CTATCAGGCCGACTGATTGGAAGAGATCCATATCTGTGCCCATTCTGAATGGAATGTGGAATCATCGGATAATATCTTTATTATCCCATGTGAGTAAAAGTTTACTAAAAGTAATACAGAAATGGCTACAAGCATACATTGACAGAGACTTCCAGAGGTTCAAGCCAGATCCAGAAGAGAATGTGGAAAAAGAGATAACGTTGGTCTGATGGATCGTGACTGAAAGCAGAGAATATCAGAAAGATGTTTACCTGTGCTTTATTGACTATGCAAAGGCTTTCAAATGTGTGAAACATGACAAGCTATGGACAACATTGCAAATTATGATTATTCCTGAATACTTAATTGTGCTCGTGTGGAATCTGCACATGGACCAAGAGGCAGTTGTTTGAACAGAACATCGGAACAATCAGTGGTTTATAATCAAGAAATGTGAGCGACAGGGTTGTATTCTTTCACCATACTTATTCAACCTGTATGGTGAGCAAATAATTTGAGAAGCAGGATTATATGAAGAAAAATGTGGTTTCAGGATTGGAGGAAAATTCATTAATAACCTGCGATATGCAGATGATACAACCTTGCTTGCTGAAAGTGAAGGAAACTTAAAATATTTACTGATGAAGATCAAAGAGCATAGCCTTCAGTATGGATTGCATTTCAATGTAAAGAAAACAAAAATCCTCATCACTGGACCAATAAAAAAATTCTATCAATAGAGAAAAGATTGAAGTTGTCAAGGACTTCATTCTTCTTGGATCAACTATCAACACTCATGGAAACAGTCAGTCAAGAAATCAAACGGCGTATTGTATTAGGCAAACCTGCTGCATAAGACCTTTTTAAAGTTTTGAAGAGCAAAGATATCAGCACCTTGAGGGCTAAGGTGCGCCTGATCCAAACCATGGTATTTTCAATAACTCATACGCATGCGAAAGTTGGACAGTGAATAAGAAAGACCATAGAATAATTAATCCATTTGAGTTATGTTGGAGGAGAATATTGAAAGTGCCATGGGCTTCCAAAAGAATCAACAGATCTCTTTTGGACGAAGTGCAGATCGAGTGCCCCTTGGAGGCCAGGATGGCCAAACTTCATCTCTCATACTTGGGACATATTGTCAGGAGGGACTAGTGGAGGGTCAGAGAAAAAGAAGAAGACCCCCAGCGAGATGGATTGGCAAAGTGGCAGCATCAATGGGTTCAAGTATGGCAATGATAGTGAGGTTGGCCCACGATCCAGCAATGATTTGTTCTGCTGTGCATAAGGGCTCTATAATTTGGTACCCACTCTATGGCACCTAACTACAACATCATATAAAAAATGGATTCCTGGTGTGGTGCTGTGAGTTAATGTGCTACACTGCAAAGTCGGTTGAACCTCAAGGTCAGTGGTTCAGACTCACTAGCTGATCCTCAAAAATGCAGGGTCGCTAGGGGTCAGAACCAACTCGATGGCACTTAACAGCAACAACATACAAGAAATTTCACAATTATAGTAATAATGTTAATTGTACAGTCTTTAATTGAATAGAACAACTCATTTAAACAAACCAAGTTTGAGTATTTAGTATTATTGAAATTTACAAGCAATGGAAATATGCAAATGAGTTTAACATGTTTTCCTGTCATAGATAATGATAAGTCTGTAATAATAGTGAATGTAGCTTCTGTTCTAATTGTTGTTTTCCTAATTCTTTGCTGTCAACATTTTGTGTGTCTACTATTTACTAGGTATTGTGCCAAGTACACTTAATATATTATCTAAAACATACGTTTTTATTGAATTCATCAATTTAATCCCAAAAGATCCTAGGGACAATCTATAATCTTAATATTTCTACATAGTTCAATTCACCTGTTTCTAAAATTACTATTCAAACCTTTCTTATGTCTTCAAATTTTAAATAATTTGTCCCTTCTCCCTGCTTATAGATTCTCCCTTGCTACTCACTGAACTGAGAAAATGTTGTTGTTGTTAAGTGCCGTCGAGTCGGTTCCGACCCATAGCGACCCTGTACAGGGTTTCCGAGGGTGTAAATCTTTACGGGAGTAGAAAGCCTCATCTTTCTCCCGTGGAGCGGCTGGTAGTTTCGAACTGCTGACCTTAAGGTTTGCAGCCCGATTCGTAACCACTATGCTACCAGAGCTGAAAATAGAAGCTCTCAATTTGAACCTATTTGTTTCTGCTTTAGCTCCTGTTTCTTCCTCCTACAGTTGATGAACTAGTCATGTTTGTCTACTTCCGTAGTTGTTTCTATACTGTTCTGTAAGTCTCAAGAGTTATTCCTTGAGGAATTCCATCCAAGGTAAATTCCATCCATTTCTCATCCATTATCAGTTTTCTCTTTTCATTTAAATGTTTCCTTGAACATGTAAACACTTGTAATATTTTACAACTAAACTAATAATAATAACCCTCATTGATATGTCATTTCAGCTACAGCCCCATTTCTCTCTTCCTCTTCACAACACTAAAACATTTTTTATAATCTATTCACCATGTCACATTCACCATGTCATAAAGCAATTAAAATTGTTCCTAGATTTCCATGTTGTGAAATTAAATGGTCAAATCTCATTTTTTCATTTCAGTGCAATTATAGACTATATTAAGGAGTCCTGGTGTGGTGCTGTGGGTTAATGCGCTGGACTGCAAAGTCGGTTTGAAGCAGCTCTTTGGAAACCCTGTACAAGGTCACTATGGGTCAGAATTGACTCAAAGGCACTTAACAACAACAACAACACCATAGACTATAATTGTTACAGTTGATCATTCCTATTTCCTGCAAACACATTATTCACTTGTATGTGAAATGTCACCTGTTCCTACCTCAGCTAAATTCTGTTGCCAATTCCTCCAGGTTATATTCAGAATCTGCCTTTACCTCCACTGCACTCCAACTCATCTAGATTTTTCACCTTTGAAGTTATTTACCTTTATTCTGATAGACCCTACTTGAGTCTTATTTGTTTCTCCACTGACTGACTGCCTCACAACTTAATTTCAAACCTTTCTCTTACCTAAATTCTCAACTAATCCCAAGTGGTTAAATACTCTTTCTATTCTGTAGACAACCAAATGTATATCACTATCTAGAAGGCCAACTGACTTTTTGAAATATCACTTAATTTTATAACAGTCATTTAAAATTATCTTGATAGCAACTTAATATTTGTTTTCTCCCATGCAAACCTACTACTCTAGCAGTCTTCTAAATTTCAGTGTATAGAATTTATGCTTTGTAACTACTTGGGTTCAAACTATTGAATTATCCTTCATTCACTTTTATTCCCAAACTATATGTAATATATGCGCTAAACTCTGTAGCCTATATCTCCTGATTATATCAGAATCTGCCTCGACCACTCCACTCCACTACAAGCTGTCTTGATTTTTCACCTTTGAAGTTGTTTACCTTTATTCATCTTGCATCTTCCTTTTTTGTTCACACTATCATCACAGAGATCCTTTTACAAAGACTAATCTCATCACGCCACACCTCCTCTGAAAATTCTTCAAGGACTTTATATCTCACTCAAGCAAAGTGTAGTGCATTGAGCAAAGTAATGAAATATGGCATTTTTCCATGATATGTTCCTATTGTATCTACTTTTGTATACTGTTGCAATAACACACAAAGTGGGTTAGTGGTTGTTTTTTATGTTAAATATTATATAGTTTATCCCCTTTCTTTATATTTGAGCTATTTGGTTATCCATACATTCAATCAGTTCTGTTCAATTCATCCAGGATTTATTGTAATCTAGTACTTGACAGTTACTGCATGATCGGTTTGAACTTCAAGGTCTGAGGTCCAAATTCACAAGTCACTCCTTGGAAACCCTAAGCAGGGCCACTGTGAGTCAGAACAGACTCGATGGCACTTAACAACAACAACAGTATTCGATAGTTACTGGTGTGGCTATGTAGGATAAGAACTGGACCACAAGGTCAATTTGAGCCACAAATGTAGCCATTTAAACTTACTAACTGCTCCTCAGAAACTATATTCACAGTCACTTTGAGTTAGTACTGACTCAATGGCACTTAGTGACAACAATAGCATATTCAGATCAACAGATACAAAATTAATTTCAGAGCTTGGTGAAGTTTTAACAATAAAAGGCATTACTGTTAATGGTATGGCGCAGAGTAAGAGACTCAGTCCCAAATCTCAAGAGAGCAAGTTTATTATGGGTGGGCTAAGTGTCAGCTATTGCTTAAACCACTCTGACCCCTAATGCTTGAAAAGTGAGCTTATATACAGGTTGGTTACATATGGGTGCATAAGCAGGTGTTGTTAGTTGTGGGGTGAAATTTTTTCACCTAAATAACCTTCCTGTTATTCAATTTTTACAAGGTTTGTTTCAGCTTTGTAGTTTTCCTGTTATATGCACAGAGTGGTCAGGGGGAGACATGCTGGGTTTTTTGTTTTGCTTTGTTTTTGTCTAAGGGGGTGAGGGGCAGAGCAGAAGGGTCCTAGGTCTGCTACATTACTAAAATTTGCATGATTTCTATTCTTTGTCATTTGGATTGTTGTTGCATTTTATTGCTGTAAAAGCAACTACATAGTTCTTAGCACCAAAAGTTTAGTAGCACTGGAGGGAATTTTGTTTTTTTGGTGCTGAATTTATTATGAAGTGAACAAACATAGTTCAAAATAAAAGGGATTTCTGTGAATGCTGATATATGGATTTGTGTGTTTGTGTTTCTTTTTTTTGCTTTTTCCTCTCTTTGAGGCAAGGACCAACACCAGATAAATCTTTTAACTTACTAATTAGAAAATAAGTTTTGATAACTAACAAAAAAACCTTCTCAGCATAAATGATGAAACATTGTTTTCCCTCTGAGATAATTCAGACAAGATAAATCTTCTTAATTTCCAATACTAAATCGTCTTTCACAGATAACAAAGTAATTTCTTCTGTGAAGAAACAGGATGCATGAAAGAGATTCTTGAATCATTAAAGATTAAAGACCATTCATCTTGTTGAATCTCTATGTGTCATTTGTTGCTACTTTCTGAGCAGATGAGCATCGAGCAAATATCTTTTTAAATGCACCCATGACATCCTTGTTCCTCAGACTGTAGATCAGCGGGTTGAGCATGGGTGTGACAATGGTATAGAAGGCAGACACTACCTTGTCCTTCTCAGGGGTGTGGAATGACTGGGGCAGCACATATGTGTAGAAAGCAGCGCCATAGAAAATGCTCACAACAGTCAAGTGGGATGAACAAGTGGTAAAAGCTTTTTTCCGGCCTTCCACAGAGCGCATACGATGGACAGTTAATAAGATGAGGGAGTAGGAGGTGGAGATGATAGAAATGGGGATGAGGAGCATGAGTACACAACAGATGTACATCAGAGTTTCATACAAGGATGTGTCTGCACAGGCAAGTCTGAGAACTGCAGGGATCTCACAGAAGAAATGGTTGATATTACGGGAACCACAATAGGGAACATTCATAGTGATGGGGGTGAGCAGAAATCCATCAAGAGAGCCACCAAACCAGGCACCAGCAGCCAGAAGGAGACATACCTTGCGGTTCATCAGAACTGGGTATCTAAGAGGGTTACAGACAGCCACATAACGGTCATAGGCCATGAGGCCTAGAAGAAAAAACTCTGAGCCAATCATGGTTAAGTAGAGAAATATCTGGATGCCACAGGCCACAAAGGAAATGGTCTTCTCTTGGGATAGCATGTCAACCAGAAGCTTTGGGACAGTAGTACAAATGAAAAGTGTGTCCATGATGGACAACTGGCTCAGCAGAAAGTACATTGGGGTGTGAAGGCGTGAGTCCACTTGAATTAAAAATATCATGACCAAATTTGCAGTTACAGCCACGGTGAAAATAGCAAGGATAACCGTGAAGACAATTCCTGTAGCCTTACTGTTCACCAGAAGTCCAAGTAGGATAAAATCAGAGGACAAAGTGCTGTTCTTCATTGCCAGAATCTATGACAAATTGAAGTTACAAAATTCAGGACATTTAGTATGGGAGAAACATACTATGGAAGTAACATCACAGAGGATAATAGTCAGGAGAAAATTTTCCAAGGCATAATTCTAGTTAAATTAATCTGCCTGTGAATATGGTTAAAGTTCTTCTGATGGAAGAATGACTCTTGTTATAGTGTTTTTTATGTTCGGTATTTTATATGTATACTCAGTATAAGCACTGGACAGCTATCTACAAGGTCAGAAGTTCAAATATACAAACTGCTTCTCAGAAACCATATATGGGGTCGATATGAGTTGTCAAAACAGTATTTAACAACAAATTTTTATATGTAGGTCATAATAATGGTGTTTTCTTGGGGCAGAGTCAAATACTTGGGGTAGAGTCAAAACTACATCTGTCCTATTCACTCTGTATTTCTGGAATTGAGAATGTTGTTATTAAGTGTCTTTGAGTCACTTCAGTCTCATAATAAAATGTATAGGATTTCTGAGGACAGGCAGGTGGGTTTGAAACCTTGCGGTTAGCAGTCCAACATTTATCCTGCAGTACCATAACAGGATCTATGTTGTTAGTGTTAAGTGCCTTCGAGTTGGTTTCAACTCAATTTGACCCTGTCTTGGGTTTCCAAGGAATGGATAGTGGGTTTGAATGATCAACCTTGCAGTTAGCAGTCCAGTATTTATCCTGTAGCATAAGGACCTGTGTTGTTGTTAGTGCCATCGAGTCAGTTCTTACTCATGATAACACTGCATAGTTTCTGAGGAATGGATAGTGAATTTGAACCCCTAAACTTACGTTAGCAGTCCAATGCTTATTCTACTATGCCACACCAGAAGTCCAAGTATATATTATTTGGAGAAAAGAATGGATGCCTGATTGATGGATTAGTTGAATAACTTGTTGTTGTTGTTTTGTGCCGTGGAGTTGGTTCCGACTCATAGCGACCCTGTACAGGGTTTCCGAGGCTGTAAATCTTTACGGGAGCAGAAAGCCCCATCTTTCTCCCGCGGAACAGCTGGTAGTTTCAAACTGCTGACCCTGAGATTCACAGCTAGATTCTTAACCACTACGCTACCAGAGCTCCTTAGTTGAATAACTAAAGGTGAGTAAAATGAAAACTTAGGAAATTAATGGTGCGGACATTTTTAGGGCTTCATCAATGACTGTATATTTCTTACATCTCTGTTTTTGTTTTGTTTGTGGTGCTTTAGGAAAAGCACTGGACTAACTGCTAGATCATTGATTCAAACTCATTAGCCACTCCTCAGAAACCCTATATGGGGCCACTATGAGTCAGAACCGACTTAATAGCATTTAGCAACAACAACAACAAAATTGATTCATTTCATTACTGCTTGTACTTCTCAGTTACCCTCCTAGCACATGTTTCTTAACATCATTTATTTACTTTTCCACTTATTTGCAGCACAGCTTTCAGAACAGAAATCCTCGAAAAAGCAGCTAGAATCATCCCATGATCCACCACTAAACTGATGCCTTGTTCTGATTGCTATGGTTTTGGAAATGGAGGCAAACAGGAAGTTAAAAGTAAACATTGAAATCTTACAACAAATCTTACAACAATTTACAACAATATAGAGGAAGAAATAATTAACCAGAGAAGATGACTGCCAATGTTTATACCATGAGGCCAAAGTTAGAGGATTAGGATTCTGCACAGCAGATTTTAAAATGAAAATTAGAATGTGACAGCAACAGGCCACGATTTAGAAAAGGATTTTCATGCCTAATTCATTTCAGATGGAATAAACATTTAAGGGTTTAAAATTAACAGGAAAAGAATCATAAATGAAATGTGTACTGTTCCCAAAGGTGATGGTTGTGGTCATTAAGTCCTGTAGTAGAGTTAGTTTCAAACCATAGGGACACTGTATAGAGTTTCCGAAGGGCAGCTGGTAAGCTTGAACCACCTATCTTACTGTTCAAACCAACTTTGCACATTAACCCACAGCATCACATTTATGGAAAAGTTCCATCCAGGTGAGTCCCTGATGCACCCTGCAATTTAATTGTCTGTGGCATCCCTAGGATGACTGCCAGAACCACAAAGTCAGTGGTTCAAATTCACCAGCTGCTCTTTGACAGCCAGATGAAATATGCCAGATATGTTTCAATTTACATATCTGGTTGTATGGTTAATTTTTTACAGGGTGTATGGTTATTTTTTTTTGTATTGATATATCCGTGAATGATTGTCAACATGCTTATAATACAAATAAAACAAACATTTTAATTGTCATTTATATGAAATCTACACTTAGCTGGGCATTCTTTATAATGCTAGAAAGTGGAAAGTCATGCTTGGCACTTGGTTTCACAAAGACCAAACTATAGTAACAACAGTGAAAAGTTACCTGTAGAATCAGCAAAAGATAACCAATGGTATCTAAAGCCAACATTTTAACTGAGATAATTGTTATTGTTATTAAGTCTAAGTTGCTTTGAATCAATTTGGACTTAAATTGAACCTATAAAACAGAGTAGAAATACTCCATAGGCTTTCCTAGGCTGTGAAGTTTTATAATAGCAAATTACTATGACTTTTCTCTCACAGAATGGTTTGTGGGTTTGAAAACCTTTTAGCTGGAAGTATTAAATTATCGTATTCCATAATTTTCCTAATTAATATATTCAAATTACTCTCAAAATTAGCACAAAATTATTATTCCATTCTCCCTAAATACCCTATGGACAAATCTCTAAAGTCAGATAGAACATAGTCTTAGTTCTGATCTAGCCTGATAAACCATTCACTAAATTCACATTCCCCAAAGACAACTGATTGTTTACTACCTGTGGAGTTGGTTCGGACTCATAATGACCCTGCACAGGGTTTCTGAGGTTGTAAATCTTTACAGAGCAGAAAGCCACATCTTACTCATGCAGAATGGCTGGTAGTTTCAAACTGCAACCTTGAGGTTAGCAGCCCGATTTGTAAGGGTTAATGTGCCAGACTGCAAAGCCATTGAACTCGAAGGTTCACAGTTCAAGCTCACCAGCTGCTTCTCAGAAATCCTATACAGGATCATTATGGGTCAGAATTGACTCGAAGGCACTTAACAACAACAACAACAAAGACAATTGAAAATAAATATGTCCTAATAATGCATTGGGAGTACTGGTGTGGTGCTGTGGGTAATGTACTGGACTACAAAGTAGGTTTGAAGCGCAAGGTAGTTGATTGAAGCTCACCAGTTGCTCCTTGTGTGAGAAATAGCTGTTGGGGTGGTCCATCTTCAGAATCAAGGATATCTTGGGGGTAGCAGGTTGACATAACAAAAGAGAAAGCTGAGAAGAGGAAGGGACTAGTTTGACCTGCTAGACTCTTTTAAAATAAGAATACACCCATCAAAGAAGTAGGAGAAGTACATGGGGAAGGAATGAAATTAACTTTAGATGAGAACGCTCCCTGTAGGATACTTTCAGCAAAGATTGTAAACTCCAAAGTACCCAGTAAAGGGGAAATGGAGGAGGGGCTTTTTCCAAATTAGGTTAATAAAACTCTTTGTTAAATGGCCAAGCTGCACACCAGCTCTTGTCTAAAGGGCTGGGCACCCAATTTTGCAAAATCGAATAAAGAAAACCTCACTCTTGCTAAAATGAGTACAGATTGGGTTACTTGAGCATTTGTCAATATAGACAACGTTTCTCACATTTGGAAACACTATACAGGGTTGATATAAGTCTGAACTTACTCCATGACCCATAACAACAACAATAATGCAGTGCATACTTAAGATAAAGTCCAGTAGTCTTCTAAGGAGTCCTGGTGTGGCACTGTTAATGCGCCAGACTGCAAAGCCTTTTGAACTGCAAGGTTGGCGGTTCAAGCTCACCAGCTGCTCCTCGGAAACCCTATACAGGGTCTCTATGGGCCAGAACTGACTCGACGGTACTTAATAACAACAACAGTCTTTTAAAAGAGTCACAGTGTGGCTCTATGGGTTAATATGCTTGACTGCAAAGTCAGTTTGAACTGCAAGGTTGGTGGTTCAAGCTCACCAGCTGCTCCGGAGACAGCGACACACAGTTGCTATTGGTAGGAATCGATTTTATGGAACTTAACAACAACAAGCCTTCTAAACTGTATAAATTTAAAAAGCCAATTTGAAAAACAATGCCTGCATTTCTGATCACATTTTCCACTAGTGCTGGACTGCAATATCAGTTTGAACAGTAAGGTCAAAGGTTCAAACTCACCAGCTGCTCCTCTGAAATCCTATGCCGGGTGGATATGGGCCAGAGCTGACTTGAAGGCACTTAACAACAACAGCCTGGTTTATGCCATTGCTGTATTTCAACTGGGTGAAATGGTTTTCCCTCTAGCCCTCTTCTTTTGTGGTGTCCATTTTGTTTGATTTCAGCATAACAAAAGTGATCTTTGGAAACCTCCCTCAGGCCAAGTCACTGTATTCAAAGTATTTAATGGCTAGTTCACTCCCCACTTTGAAGTCTGTTTTATTTGACTCTTTTGCCCTCTGAAGTCATTTCCCCCCTGTTAGCCCCTTTGCTGCTGCCCCATTGGCTTCTATGCTAATCTTCATCCAAGCCCAGGACATTTCCCTTCCCTTGCCCCCTGTCTGGCACTTCACTCCACATCTGTGAATAGTTATCACCACATGTTCTTCAGATCTTTGCTCAAAAGTGACTTTCTAAGGGGGGCCAAAATTGTCAGCATAGTTTAATATAAGCAATCAACTCACTAGTTCTTTCTTTGGAATCTGCGTTTTCCTTGATAGGTCTTCATTCAAGTAGGTCCCAAATATCCTATAAAACATAACTGTAGCTTCAGGTGTTATTATCCAGCCAGGATTTACTACAGACATTAATAATGCAGTTTAAATTCACCCTTTGTCAAATAGAAAAAAAGCAAGAAAATCATTAAGTATAACTTGCCTTCACAGGATGTTTCCATCAACTTTTCCTATTACCAGAAAAAAATTAAAATGTGTTTTTTTAAATGTC